TTATTTCCTGCTTCGACGTTACTGCTTTCTAACGTATCAAGTATTGCTGGAACTGTTGTAGTTGTAATCAAATCATTTTTGCGGTCAGACTCAGAGCCAAACTCCAGTCTCTCTTCATCGAGTGAACTTGTAGTTGAGGCTTCCATTTGCTTCTCTCTTTCATCGCTAATCGACTCCGGACCGTAATTGTGCTCCTGGAATCGTTCTTCAGAAATAACAATCTGTTGATCATGAGATGTTTGGGATATTTCATTCATAGTGTCATCAATCCCATTTTGGGAATACTCATCTTCTGGAGAATGCAAAGAGGAAGATTGTCCATGCTCCTTTATTGCTTCATAAGCTGCTTTGGCTCCCAAGGCTGCTATACCAACAGGAGCTACAACTGCTGCTCCTGCGATAGCTCCAGCTTTCTTGGCGAAACTCAAGGCTCTGTCACCGAAACCAACACTGGAATCTTCCACATCGGTATCTGAACTTTCTGGTAGCATTACTTCATCCTTCACCTCTTCATAAGGGTTAGAACCTCCATATTCTGAAGCTTCGATTACGTGTGAGGTAAAAGGTTCAGAAAATTTAGTCGTTTGTGATTCATCAGTCATTACGATATTTTCGTTCTCTTCTTCAGAAACGGTTGAATGTTTCTCTGTAAAGACATCAGCCTCAGAGCTGTTTTCGGCAATATCACTGACGTCTTCTGCACTGTTCTGCTCATACGCGGCGATCCCGGAATCTGCCTTAGGTTCAGTCTCCCAGTTTGAAACAGGGTGGAAGCTGACGTTAGTTTCTTCACGCACAGGTTCACCTTCTGTATGACGTTTTTCACTCTGTTCCTCATTCGAGAAAGGAATAGGAGAATCAGTATTCTCGATATGTGATTCCTCATTCTGAGTGGAATGGGCTGAATAAACATCAGAATGGTGATGAATCTCTGAAGAAACGGGAGAATGTGAACTGCAGATTTTTTCTTCAGCATCTTCTTGGTTTTCAATTGTTTGTTGCGCCATAATATCTACCGTGGGGTTGAGCACTGATGTTGATGAGGAGATGAATGCCTCCTCAAATCTCTGCTGATCATCGGATGAATGTTCTTCATCTTGTGAAGGTTGAGATCTCCTGATCCCGATATACTCAGATGTTGATGTTGTATTAGTTTCTTGTGTTTGGCTATGCACAGATTCTTGTTCTTCCTGGATTTCAGTTTCTTCCTCAATTGATGTTTTCTCAGGTAGAATTGCAACTTTTGTTGGGTTAGCAAGATCTTCGTCGGAAGCTTGTTCATGAGATTCGTCATACTGTGATTGAGAGTTTATGATATCATTCATGTTGTTCTGCTCTTCTCTGGCCTCCCCGTAGGTTTCTTCATCTTTATTGCTTTGCTCGAAATCGGATTGTCGGGATTGTGTTTGACGTTCTGTTTCGCAGTTAAAAGAAGAGGAAAGGTCGATGACAGTTTCTGCAAGCACTGGTTGAACTTCGGTATCATGTTCCTCATTTTCAGTCAAACGAACGGAGTAAGCATCGAATTGCATTTCTCTATGAGGAGACA